AATATCGATGCTCCATTACCACTACTATTTACAATCAATGTATCTTTATAACATGGAAGCTTTTTGGAAGTGCGAAAGCCCAGTCACTTTGGTGATTAGAGCATGTGTACATGCTGTGATTTCGTGATGGTGATGGTGAGGGGCTCCTTCGAATCAGGTTTGGTTCGTACTTTGTCACATTGTGGAAGACACTTCAAAACATATATGAAGAGAGCTCTGCTTTGTCGTTCTGTTTGTTATTTGTAGAAAATCTCCGATGATTTCCCGGTCGATTTTCTATAGTCAGATGAAGAATTACATTCGGGATAAGTATGTTACAAACCCAAATCCAAGTCTGAACTTGGGTTTGGATATTGGGTCAGATGTTTTTTGTTTTATTCTACTTATCTTGTCCATATCAGCCTCATCCTTGAAACAGAGAAAAACACTAAAAAAATAAGCACTGGTAACATGCCACAAATATGTTAACAAATGATCGGAGAACACTATAAAAGCTTCGAAAAATGAAGAGAAGGAGAAAGAACAAAAAAATCGACAGAATCGCAAAGACAGAGAAAACAAAAACGGAAAAGCCTAGAGGAAAAATTAATCATAATAACGGGAAGGTAGAAACGGGAACAAAAAACAACAACAACACAAACAAACAAAAAAGAAAAAAGAAAAACATACGCGGAATCATGGAATTAATGTTTTAATCGAGCGAGATGATTTCGGACGTAGTGCACGATGATCGATGAGATGGAGTGACGGCAGAGACGCGAGGGTTTGGTGGTGGAGTGCGCGACGTGATATGAAGAAGATTGAGGATGCGATGGTGAACCGTCATACAATCGGCAGTGAGGTCGAGGAGAATATCGCGTGAACGTTGAATGCGTGACGAAGAAGACAGTTGCGGGGAAGACGATGGTGCTACGTATGTGTCCGCAACGCCTTGGTGTAGGTGCAGAACAGATTGAGCGAGCTGTGCGGTGATGGTAGCGAGAAACGAAACAGTAAATAGAAGTTCGTCGACGTCGTCGGAAACGGCAGGAGTGATAACGGGTGGTGGAGACGTGTAAGTGGATAAGGTCACTGATGACGTGGATGAAGGTGAAGATGGCATGATGTAAGATGAAGTGTTTGTAAAACAACGTAGAAGATATTGAGTAGCGAGCGATGGAAAGAAAATGACGATGAGTGAACGAGAAAGTGAGAAATGACCGGGTACACAGTGGATGAGTAGAGAAAGAGAAAGACAAACAAAAACAAGACAAGAAAAAGCAGGATGACCTTAAAGAAATTGAAGTTAAATAACCTTGAACAACTGACCAGTGTATGTGAACGTGGATGATAAGAGAGTGAATGATTGATGAGAAGTGTCACCATTGTGTGAAGGAAAAATAGAAAGATGGAAGCTGATGAAGATAGAAGAGATAAAAAGGTTTGACAATGATGAATGATTAGAGTACGTGTGACTGGTCAGTGTATGTGAGTGTGGATGATAAGGGAAGGAATGACTGATGAAGAGTGCTACTGTTTTGTAAAGGAAAAAATGGAGAAATAAACAGTTTTGACAGTGATTAATGGAGTTTTGTGTATTGTGAGAGAACGTGCACTGTTGAGAACATATAATACAGATAAGTAGTGGCCTTGAGTTCGGGCAGAGACACGATATAAAAGAAAACTGGTAACTGTTAGAAGGGAACGAGGAGAATTGAACACAATAGAGTGGTTAAATCGCGGATTTGATGTAAAAAACAGAATACAAATAATACAAAGAGAAATAAGTAAAAATAACAACTCAATGGCAAAAATTTACGATAAATAGCAAGTGTTAGATTTGGAAACACGCGTGCTTCGACGCGAGACACTTGAACAAGTATGAGGAGGAATGGGTGTGCGACATCGAGGTGGTCAAATATTAGGACGACATGTAATAACGGGCAGTAAGGAAGCCTGAGGTATCCAGTAAGGATTAAGACGATCAGCAGTAGTCGTGCCCAGAAGAACACCATCAGATAGACGTTGAATTTGATATGTTACAGGACCGAGTCTTTTGACAATTCGGCAAGGTCCCTGATAACGTGGGTCAACTTGCCCAAACATGATGTAACAAATTATCACCAATAATCAAGTGGTGATGAGAGGGAGATGAGAGTGCGTTCATTTTGATGAACGACTCTAGAATAAACAGGGGTTGTGCCAATGAAAGATAGGAACTATCAAACACCAAAATTAGACAGGGAATGAAGAAACGTTGAGAACGTCAGTAAAGATGATAAATATGTAGGGTCCAGCGAAAAGTGGACGTAGGTTGTACAAAAAAAAAATATGCGTCATTCTATACAAGATCTAACGCTTAAATATGTCTTTCCAATAGCGAAACGATACACTAGCATAGTGCTATCAGTATAACAAAAGACAATCAAGAAATATCGTGTACGGATACATGAAGACGCAGAAGGAACCTTCTGCGCAATCTGTTGCGCAAGCACAAAAATAAAAAGTGTTACGTGTGGTGGAGCATGCGAACTGCAAACCCCAAGTAATAAGTAGTAAAAAAACCCAAGGTCTAACACTACCACAGTGTCGACCGTATAGGCGTAATCGCCTGTATAAGTACCCGAAATGTGGGCGACTTAAAAACAATAATAAAAAACAACTGAGGTCTAACACTACCATAGTGTCGACGATATAGACGTAATCGCCTGTATGAGTACCCGAAATGTGGGCTACTTAAAAAGGATAAAACACAATCGAGGTCTAACACTATCATAGTGTCGACGAAATGTAAGCTGGAAAGTATTAGGAAAGAACAAAACTCGATCAGGAAGAGGATGGGCTTCCCTAAGCTGGAGTTTCAGGATAGATCGTGAAGGGTGGTTACGGTGCATGATCAATCCGAATAAGGTAAAGACAAGTAGAAATGTCAGGATATATTGATATGCTGCTAGGCAAAACGTTTCGTCCCGAGCAGATATAACTGTGATCGAGTCCCACGTTTTGAGAGTAAATAAGGGAACTGAGTGTCGTGGGAAAATGTAGGCAGAATCAGACTCATGATCAGAGGCTCCTTTCAATTTGCACAATATACGGATAAGTGATTGAGAGGGTTTTACATAGGCGAAACTACTGACATTGGTTCCGAAGAGGATTGACCATCACAGATACTAAGTGAACCAAAATCAATTGTGGTCAATCCAATTGGAGCTGCGATCGGTTTTACATGTACAGTAGGAAAACAGTAAGGATGAGTATCGGAAGAAGGGCGAAGAAGAGAGGGGGAGACAATAAGTGGTTCAGAAACCGATGAACGATCAAGTGGAGGAGGGGCAAAGGTACAGAGGGATAATCATACGATGATTATCATAAAGCGTTTAGAGATGGTCTTGGATGGACCTTTCGGAGGTGGATAAATTAGGAAATTCAGCCATGATAAAAACCAATGTGACTTACCAGACAATATGAAGAAAGATAGAAAGAAAAAAGAAGAAGAAGAGTTTTGCAGGAGAACGGAAGGTTCGACAAGACGAGATCGCCAAGTGTGAGGAACCTATATTTCCCCTAATTATAAGTCCTTGAGTTGGTTGTATGCGTGCGTTAAGATATGTAGTATTACTCTTTTATTCGACTACTCTTTATCACAAACTACAAAAAACTAAACTCTAACAGAAAAAATCCTAATATATATATTTGTACTACTCCATGCACAAAAGATAAGAACCACAACAGAACAAAGTGAGGAAAGAACGAAAACAGACAAGGAACAGAACGAAACAAAAGGGAGTCGGCCTAGCAACAGAAGTACGTACTGGAAGAAGAGGTTGTGACAAAGAATCGTCACACACTGAAAATTTTTTGATGATGCTGAAACACGGTATGCAAATTTTTTTTCAATTTGCACGTGTTGAGAGAAAGAAAGAAAATTCGTTTTGATTTGTTAAGAATGCGTAAGTATTGCAAAGCGTGAAAAAGGTTTCTGACTTTCTATTTTGTATTAATATTTCCAATTAATATTTCTTTAATTTCAGCAAATATATTTTGAATATATTTGCTGGACCAAAAACAGCTTATTAGTCAATTTATCTCTCAAGCTCGTGAAACTGGCTATTGAAATTATTGGAGCGTGTAAAACAACACTTTTTTGCGTTATGTACGTAGACATCGTCATTTGCTTCTTTATCTGAAATTGTTCTTCTTGTTCGTTCTCCTCACGTATGCACCGTTTCCTGTATCAGCATCAAGAGTTTATTATGAAAATCAAACAGACAACACGTGTGTCACGAAAGAATGAAAAAAAGCGAAAGAAAGAGGCGTGTTTTTGCCTTGTGTGGGCTTCATTCTACAATACTGTTGCTCTCTCGACATACCATTATTCTTCATCTGTTCTTCCCTTACGGACGTGCCCAGCATTGCGACAATGTTTGCGCTGATCAGCTTGGGGCTCGTTTTCTACACAATCTATCAATTGTATCAGTATTTATTTCCATCACCCAATATCGATCCACATGGTAAATACGTGCTAATCAGTGGTTGTGATACAGGCTTCGGCCAGACATTGGCCATTGAACTGGACCAACAAGGTTTCAATGTTTTTGCTGGTGTTTACAATCCAGACAGTATGGTGTCACTCACCAATCAACTCTCATCTAGTGCCACCGTCTTCTGTCTTGATATAACTCAACCATCACAAATAAATGCAGCCTTTGAAATGGTCAGAGAAAAGACGAACACATTGCATGCACTTGTTAACAATGCTGGAATTGATCAAGACGGAATGATCGACTGGATCACATTGGATTTGATGCGAAATACGATGGATGTGAACTTTTTTGGACACGTCGCAATGACCAAAACGTTTTTACCATTACTTGTCAACAAACGAGACTCGCGCGTGATCAACTTGTGTTCGGTAGCTGGTTATTTGGCGGCACCAGGCATGTCGTCTTATTGCGCTTCAAAATATGCTCTCGAATCATTTTCTGATTGTCTCCGTCGTGAAATGCTTCCATGGGGTTTACGTGTGAGCATCATCGAGCCAAGTTTCATGCGAACACCTATCCTCAAAGGACATGTGCAGAGAATGCGTGACATGTGGAGTGGACTCTCGACCGACATCAAAGATCGATGGGGCGAAGGATTTCTCGAGGATTTAATAAAAAAAAGATTGAATAATGTATTCATTCAATATGCTGAAAATCCCATTAAAGTGGTTCATGCAGTTCGACATGCCGTTAGCAGTACAGTTCCGCACATTCGCTATCGACCGGGTTGGCAATCGAGTCTCTTATTCTTCCCACTTTCCATGGGTCCCGCTTGGCTGGTCGATCAGTTTTTCATGGACAAAGGCACGGATCCAAGTGTTCTACCCGCCGGTGTGCGCACACAAATAAAGGCGTAAATACCATTGATTGCAGAATAAACATAATATATCTTTAGATGAACTTCTTCTTCCAAGTACTTATCAATAACTTAGCCAAGGTCTTGATTTTCCCAATACTGAAAAAGGTGAGACGATATAAAATACAGGGAATTGTGAGTGACACGCAAATTGGTAGAACCATGAGTGTCATATCAACTTGAAATTGAAAGATTTTAATCAAAATTTGATAAATGTGTGGCATTGACCTTCGACATAGAATGTGCTGTTTTCCGGCACATCATTCTTCTTCGTGTACGTTCTGTGCTGGTTGATTTTTCATTCGCTAAAGAACTGATCCTACGTCCTAACCCTTCGAGCTGTACAAATCCCCTGTGACTGGTAGATCAAGATTAGACAGAAAGTCTCTTTGATTAATACAGAACTACATTACGGCTCACAAATCCGTCTATCATATGTAGACGTTCCCACTAGGTTCATTTAAATGTTACCGTACGAAAAACTGGATTTTATCATTTCAGTTTATCCATCAGTGATGACAGCAGAATATATTATCAAATCATTGTTAATTTATCAGCGCAACCAGATATCTTCGAACGTCTCTGTATCACTTGGATTCGCATGGATTCCGGTGAAGAACGGTTAATTGACTCATGATTCGTTAGACATACTCACGTTAGGATTGATGTTAGCGAATTTGTTTTGTTAATCTCGTCTTTAAAGTCTTGATTCCGTTTGTTCCGGCCATTTTAGACCGCATCTCTATACGAGTGATCCACACTGTCATTCCTCCATACACTGCAAAAGAATGTTGTCGTCAGACACAGGTCTCAACGTATCTCTTAACTATACATCGGCGCAAATCAATCGTTACTTTACACCTATCGTGTTTCTTTTCGGTATTGTGGGTAATATTCTCAATTTTCTTGTTTTATCACAAAGATCTCTTCGTTTAAATCCATGCGCTTCACTCTTCCTTTCGTCATCAGTTGCTAATCTCATTTGTATTATTTCTGATCTCACTTCTCGATTGATGTCTGGTTGAGATGCTGATTTGACAGAAACGGTTGGATTGATTTGTGAACTTCTTGATTTTGTTCAATGTGCCTCACGGACAACCGTCCTTTGACTCATCACGTTCGCCACTGTCGATCGATGGCTTTTATCCTGCACCAATCTTCATCGTCGACATATGAGTATATTAAAGAAGTCTCGACGAGGCATGATCATCATTTTTCTTCTGTCGATTGTATTGTATGCTCAAATTTTGTATTGTTATAAAGTCAGTCTCATCTAAGACTAAGGTCAGAAAATTTTGCAGCATACGGGCTTTGCTTAGGACTAATATTGCTGCGGGTTTCAGCTCTTTAACCCATTGGAATAGTGCGTTACAGTGAAAATATCAAAAACGGAAATTTCTCTAACGAGGAACACTATTCTACTGTAACACTCCTTTTTCAATCGTTCATACGTCGATCGATGGATAGTAAAAAGCCTAAAAGGGTTTGTGCCAGTGGCTCGTGAAGACCCAGTTTTCTGGAAAACCAGTTTTTCAAAAACTCTGAGAAATAATCAAAACCTTTCCTTAGTGAGACATGATTATAGTTCGCAAATTTCTCATTAAAGTGAGACATCTCCTAGCTCTACAAGACCTTTCTTTGCAAAGTTATAAAATACAACAAAAGCTCTGAATTAATTTCTTCTTACTGCTGCAGCTTGAAGCTGAGAATGAACATTTAGGGCTTTTGTTGTATTTTATAACTTTGCAAAGAAAGGTCTAGTAGAGCTAGGAGATGTCTCACTTTAATGAGAAATTTGCT